TTTGTTTGGCTGCCTCTATTATTCTATGCTACCATTGAAAGGTGTTTTGTTGCGCTTCCCGCAATGATTTTATTTTTTTTTTATTTTTTTTGGTCACAAAATTTACTTAAATTGTCAGTTGATGGTTTGCAATTATATAATACATACTTACAAACAAACATACATATATTTGTGCAGAATTAGTTGACTGTGCGCAGATGAAATATGGTTTGAGGGAGTAAATACATGTTATTCACATTAATTCAAAACTGCGCTCACTTCTATTGTTGATGAGAATAAATAAATTGCAATTATGGAAGATCAAGAAAAGAAGATTTGCAGCAATTTGTTGTGTTTATACACATTCGCAGATTTATGAATGTACATTAACTGAAATTTGAAACGTAAGTGCAATATTAAATATTCTCAAATAAAATTTTTGTTTTATGTGTTTAATTTTTTTTTCCTGAAGTGTTGGATAAACCGGCAAATGAGTCGAGAAGTTAAAATATAAGTAATATTTTGTATAAAATTGTAATTTGCTATTGCGATTCTAAAGAGTTCAATTTCTAAACAAAATAAATTTAAAAAAATGTTCAATGTAAAATACAAGGATATTTTCGACTATATTGACGATATTACTATATTAAATATTCTTTTAGAAAATTAAAGTTTTGAAAGCTGTTTTTTTAACTCTAAAAGTCCATTCCATTATTCATTAGTATTGCTTTAAATTAAAGTATTTATTTATCACAGTTAAATAGGCGCCATTTTGCTTGATAACTTTTTGCCATTATGCCTCTCTCTCTCTCATACAAACACTTGTCACTATTGGCAAAAAATTGGAACAATCGTTTATCACAGGCTCCTCTGAGCCAATTCATTCTCCATAAATTGGAAGAGATGGCAGTTACTTGGTGAGAGGTCAGGACTATAAGGTGGCTGCAAAAGAACCACCCAACCAAGATCTCGGTGCTTTTGGTGAGTCACTTTCCCTATGTTTTACTGTCGTTTTTCTGATAGAATTCAGCCCAAAGCAGGGCGTTTTAGTCTATGTCGGCATAAAGAGTTTGACCGCAAGGCCGTAGGGCAGCTGCTCATAATGGATGAATTCTTGTCAATCCCACCAAACACACCACAAAACCTACCTCACCATTAATACTGGCTTGGAGACCGTTCGTGACGGCTCACTGCTATTCGAGCGCAAACGTTTTCGTCGCCAGTCACCATCCGCTACAGATATGAGTCGATTTTGTTACGATTCAGCAGCAATTCACAGATGGAAACTCTCAAACACTATTCACAATTTCAACTACCTGACTGGTGTCCATCTTTGACAAGTAATCAACATCTTCCCATTATCTTTTTAGTTCAAAACATTATCTTTATATCGCCATCCAGTCTAATCCAATTGCGTTTACAAAACGTGAGATACAGATCACCATATATTGCGAAAATAATGGAATTAATTTGGTTTCCTGTGAACCCGAATGCTGGAAACGACTTGTATCATATCATCGGCCAATGAGACTCCTTTCCAAATGTTACACACTATTCTAACCAATTCCCATCCTTCTACAAATGACTTTGTCTCTGTGATCTAAGCACTATAAAAATCTCAAAAAAAAAAAAACATAACGTCTGGGTACGATTGCTCACGTGCTCAAAAAGCTTCCTGCCAAAACATTAAACTTTAACGCCTGCTACAAAAAGTGTTTTCCTGACCTAGTGGCAGGTAGTTGAGATCTGTTTGTAGTTCTGAGTAAGGAAGCCAGGAGAAGAAGTGAAATCTTATCGCTCTATTCATTTCGTCACAATCTTGTGAGAAATATTTGTGAAACGTTTCGAAAATAATGATTAAGTCAATCCAGCTGAGATGTTTAATTCCAAATCACCAATTCTACTTCAGGAAACAACATTCTACAATCGAGCACGTACATGGGTTTTGCAAAAGAAATTCATTACGGTTTTGAGCAAAGATATCTCTTTTTAAACATATCTGAAGTCTACGACACAGTATGGCACAAAGCCTATTAACTAAATTTAAAAAGAAGCCACAGTTTATAGTAAGCAGCCTCTATACGGGTGATAATTTTTTATGAGGAGATTTTATTTCTTGTCAGAAATCCAATCGGAGGTCTTGCCATTCCTCGCCGAAGGACAGCCGTAATTAGAAAAAATTACTTAATTTTTTATTGAAATTAAATTTCTATAATTTTTGGATGTTTTCCGGACCAGCACCCGAGCCTTAGCCTTCCATGTCGCAGTATGCAATGCTAACTATTCGACAATTACGGACTCATACTTACCAAATAAACGCATATCTATTTTTAAAGGGTGATTTTTTAAGAGCTATAGGAAAGTTTTTCAAAAAAAGAAAAACACATGAAATTCACAAAAATGCATGAATTGTTTATTTGAATCCAATTTAATGCTTGAAGATTATTTTAGGCAAATGTTGACCGTACTACGCCTCAAATGGCCCATCCGTTTAGTCCAATTTTGGCATACTCTTTCCAACATTTCGCCCCAAATCTCACGGACAAATGCTTCAATGTTGTCCTCCAATGCGTCAATTGAAGCGAGCTTGCCTGTATAGTCATTCGATTTAACCTACATAGCTCCACAAAAAATAGTCTAAAGGCGTTAAATCGAGCGATCTAGGCTGCCAAATGTGAAATAAAATGTTCACAGAATTCGTCTCTCGATAAGTCCATTGTTACGCGTGTTGTTCGTTTGTAAGACGACTCATGGTTAAATTATAGACCAAACTGAAGATGTTTGACAGTGATACAAAACACGAAACGTGCATCAGCAGTTAAAACCAGCGTTGCCAAAAAGATAATAGCCAAAAATCAGCCTTTACTATCTATATCTTCCTTTTACTTGCGACCTACCAAGTTCAAATGATGTCCTAACTGCAACTTTGGCTGATGACACCGCTATTAACACAGACTCATATAATGCCAGAGATGCATCTTTGAATTTCAAATCACGATTCACCGAATTTCCAAGTGGATGATCCGATGGCGCAAGTTTGAGAGGCACTTTTCACTTGGCAAAGATGTGTGCTCTACAAATTAGTCGTCTGTTCAAGTGATTTCATTAGTAAATATATATCAAATCACGATTCACCGAATTTCCATGTGGATGACGCGATGGCGCAAGTTTGAGAGACACATGTTTACAAATCAAAGCAAGCCACATTCCGTTCTCCCAAAGCAACACTGTTAAGTACTAATGAAATCACTTGAACAGACGACTAATTTGTAGAGCACACATATTTGCCAAGTGAAAAGTAGTGGAAATTAAAATACGCTGTAAATATTGGCTGGTAGCTCAGCAATCTTCTCTCTCAATTAACAACAAACTCCCGTTGTACAAATCCGTTCTTAACCCCGTCTAGGCGCACGGTATTCAGGTATGGGGAACTGTTTCGAATTCCTGTTGAAGAGGCTTCTAGAGGCTCGAAAGAAAATATTCGCTTTTCCTAGTATAGAAAATGTATTTATTGTATTTATTTATTTAACTTTTTAATTATTCAACAATCAATTATTAAATGTCTACAAAATCTAAGGAATACATAATGAAATATAATAAATTTCCTTATCCCCTAAAGAGTACATAACATCATAATATATATGGTGTAGTAAATAGAAATCCATTGTACTAATTCGATCGGGCTCCGCTAGATGGCGTTAGAAACATGACACTTCGAATTGATTCAGTTTTGTTCGAGCATAATTTTCTAAAGCCATCAAATGTAAAAAACAGATTTTCAAAACACAAAATTCGATACTAACCCATATCATTGGCCTTAGCCTTAGCCAAGACATATGCTTAGGCAATATAAATAGCCGAGATCCCAAGCGAAGTGTTATTTAATATATTTTTAATTTAATTACCTAAAATGTTACGAAAAAAATTAACTAAATCGAGGGCACGCAAAATAAACAAGCTAAAGGAGCATAAAAAAGTTTTACATTTATTAGCATTTTTTTCTTTTTTATTGCTGAAAAAAAGTTTATAAATTAAATTGGGATATTTTTAGAATTCTGTATAAATTAAAAAAAAAAATCATTTGTTTTTGTGCTAAATTTAAAATAGGAATGAACTAATTTTTGTGGTATATACAATGTTCGTGTGAATTTCACTTTTCACTGTCTACTCGGTCGCATGATGATGAGAATTCATGTTAATGGATAATAAAATAATTAAAGTCATTGTCGTCACAAAAACTCAAAATGTTTCCAATTATTTGAGCAATTACTCAATGTCGCATTAATATTGCAGAGGTACAAAAGGAAAATGAAAAATAAAACGCAACAATTGAAAATTCATAGCTGCACCGTCAAGGGCAGCGATGCCAGAATTTCAACATTAGCAATAAAAATAAAAATAAAACGAGAAACAAACACACTAAAAGCGTCACCCAAGCCATACTATGATTCTGCTTCATCTTCATTTCTAGACAATTGTTGTGTGTGTGTGTGTGTGTGTGTCTTTGCCAAAAGTGCAGCATCGTCATCAAACGTGGCTCAATCACTCGGCCAGAGCTGGGTACTCGAGCAGTAACGCAATAAACACAAACTTTTGCAACTGTAGCCACCAACCACCAACCACCAGCCCAGACACCAGTCAACTTAAGCTTAACCCTTCTTTCCAACCGTCTTTTGGCTGTATGTTATGAACTTCAAAACTCGGCTTGGCTGTAATCAATGACGAGACACAACGCAGCACCGCAACTCGGTGGATCACCGACATCTTTAGGGGCGCAGTTTCATCTACACTGCTAGTGTGTGAGTGTGTATGTGTGTGTTTTGTTTGAGTATAGATGCGTGTGAGATTTTTGTATGCCCAGAGACCGGCTTAAATGTTTATAGCTCACCGTTTACTATGAGCTGCGCTGCTCGGCGCTGGGCTGGCGATGACTTAGCAAATGCGGCGGTACGCAACAGTGGCGGCGAAATCAGTGTGTACGCCGAAATTTTTAACACTTCTTTTAAATCTTTATGCATTCATTGAGATTTTGTTAGTTGATATTCAGCTGGCGACTCAGCAACGTCTCGTGGTGGTGGTTAAGAAGGGTAAAAGTGAAATTATTGTGAACGGTAGGCGTTGAAGTTTTGCAATTTGATTTGTTAACCAAATTTTTTTTCACCGTTAAAAGTGTGAATATATGGGATAAACATATTGTGATGCGTGCTGAATGACAAAAGTTTAATTGTTATTAAAAGGAATTAAGTGCTTAATAAACCGTTACAAATTGTTAAAATATAAGACGCTGAAATTAAAAAAAAATAAATTTTTTTATAAAATTATTTAAGTGGGAATATTTTCCATAATGTCTGACAAATTGATGACTGCTCTCTTAGCTGAGAGCGTTCTGCTTACTAAAGTTACCAGAATAGTTGCAGGATATTCGCCAGTGACCATAATTCTGGTAGGCGCCATCACATTATTCTTCGTGATTTACAACAAAAGACGTGCACGAATGGTGCAATTGATCGACAAAATCCCCGGACCTGCCGCAATGCCATTGCTCGGCAACTCAATTGAGATGAATGTGGACCATGACGGTAAATATTGAAATAAACGAGTGATTAAGTACAGAATTAAGCAAAAGAAAAATAATATAAACTAAAATAAAATAAAATAAGAGAAAATTAACTTAAATAAATTTAAATAAAATAAAATTAAATAGAATAAAATTTAATTAAATAAAATTAATAAAATAAAATAAAATTAAATTACATAAAATTAAATTACATAAAATTAAATTAAATTAAATTAAATTATATGAAAAAAATAAAACAAAATCAAATGAAATTAAATAAAATAAAGTTATTTTAAACTAAATAAAATAAAATGAAAATATTATATGAAAAAAATTTAAATAAAAAATATTAGATAAAGTAAAACAAAATAAAGTAAAATATGTATATGAAATAAAATGATATCAATAAAATAAAATTAAACTAAGTTAAATGAAACTAAATTATACTAAATTAAATAAAAAATTAAAGAATAAACTAAATTACATTAAATTAAATGAATTAAAATTATATTAAATTAAATTAAATAAAGTAAGTAAGTAAAAAAAATAAATAAAATGTTTTAAATAAAGTAATATAAAATAAAATAAAAATAAAAAATATATAAAATAAAATAAATAATTTAGGCTGAAATAAATAAAATACAAAAATAAAACAAATTACAATGAAATAAAATAAAGTAAAAAAAAATTAAATAAGATTATTATAATAAAATCGAAAAAATAAAACAAAGCAACAACAAAATGATATAAAACATAATACGCTCAAAATAAAAATAAAACAAAATAAAGAAAAATAGAATAAAATAACATGAAATTAAATACATTAAAACCAAGCCAAATAGGAGAAAAAAGATTCAAAAATAAAAAAAACATAAAATACAATGTAATAAATTAAAATTAAAAAGAAAAATAATAAATAATATAAAATGAGATAGGAGAAGAAAAATAAAATAAAAACAAATAAATAAAATAAAAATAAAATAATTTAATTTAAAATAAATTCACCTCAAATAAAGTTGAATTAAAAATTAAAAAATGTGTTTAATTGAACCAAGTAAAATGAATGAAATAAATTAATTAAAATTGAATTAAATAAATTTGAAGAAAAATTGAAATAAAATAAAATTAAAGCAAATAAAATAGTTTAAAATAAATTAACCTCAAATAAAGTTTAATTAATTAAAAATAAAATTTAACCTAAAAATTTTTTTAATTAAACTAAGTAAAATTAATGAAATAAATTAGTTAAAATTGAGTTAAATAAATTTGAAGAAAAATTTGAAATAAATTGGATTATGTTAAGAGATATATATGATAAGTTAAAACGAGAAAAATTAAAATAAAATCAGTAAAAAAGAATAAATTGCAATATAGTGAGTTCTTAAAATTAAATATTTTATAATTTTTAAAGTGCATTAATAAGGTATGATTGATTATAAAAATGTTTGGAAACGTTTTTAAATTCCAGTATTTTATCATTAGCTGTAAAGTTGATAACTGTGCGCAAAAAAGTAGCTCAACAAACCAAATAATAATTTTATAAACAACAATTTTGGGGGAATGATGAAAAAAATTAATTGAAATGTTAAACAATTTTAATACTTGTTTTTGTTGAGCCCATTGTAAGTCAAATTTTTTTAAGTATCTAATTTATATTTAGTTATCTGCACAAAATAATGATATTTATTTATTTTATAAAAAAAGGTAAAATCAAAAAAATAAATTTTTGTTTTTAAAATTTTTTTTTGTTTTTTTATTTAATCAAACAATAATACCTTGAAGATAGTTTCAAACTAAATTAATTGTGGATGATTTAAATTAAATTTTTATTTATGGTTACAAAATAAAAATAAATTTCAGTTTTATTTAAAACATTACTTTTTAACATTTTTGTTATTATTTTTTATTTGATATTTATTTATTTTTTTTTCCTTCTTGCTTGTTCACACGTATATTCAGAGAAAATATATTCAAATTATTCTCACATCAATGACCATGATTTTTTTTCTGTTGTTGTTTTATAATATCAATTTATTAGTTACATACGTATATATATTAAGCAAATATTATACTCACGTTGACTACTTAACCGTAAATAAATTCAATATGCATTTTGAACTGTGATCACAAATGCAGACTCTCAATAAAATTACTTTACTCTTCTTAACACGCCGAATCGGTAAAAAAAAAGTTGCTAATTAAAAAGTTCAATTGATCAGAAAAGCGTCTGTGTCAATGCTCCGTTGAAGCATATGAATCAGTCGTAAGAAGACTCAAGGGGTTTTCATACGAATGTCAATATGAGCCACGACTGACGATGTTTACTGATAATATATACATACATACATATAGTATGTGCTTATATATATTTTGCCTGCATGCGAGTGATCTTTGTTTGATATCAATGAAAAATATTATATTATATATGTATATATATATTTTTTTTCTAGTAAATAGCTCGTGTTTTATAAAGGGTTGAATCTGTTCGGTAAATATAAATTTACAAGTATTACCTGGAAAGTTCGTACACATTTGCACATGCATAGATCTAAAACAAATAAATCTAGATAATCAGTTTATGGGGAGAGATTGCATATTTCATTTCTCATTTACAATTTTTTTTTACAATTTTACAATTTTAAGTTCTTTTAAAGATATGAATAAATACAAAAATCAGAGGGTTTTTGATCAAAATTACAAAAAGTACTAGCAAATTTTTAGAATATGTATTGCTGGGAATGCTGAATATGATGGTTTTTCATCTCACTTTCGTGCCACGTACTATTTACTAAGGTTGTTACTAGTATAGAATTCAAATTTTTTTTTAAGACTTGACAATTCTAAATTTGAATTTTCATCCTTCAACCTATATTCAAATATTAAAATAAATAACAAAACAATTTTGATTTATTGTTCAACGAAAATTGATGCTTAATAATGAATTGAATAATACAAAAACAGATTATATGGTTGATGTTGGCGCATTGGTAGAGCACTCGCCTGTTAAGTCAGCATCCGTTGGTTTGATCCGTGCCATAAGAATGAGGAGATGTGGTGATCTTCGAAACAGCATTTCTCTTTGTTGTATAACAAAATATTCAACTCATACAAACAAATCAGGCCTTTAGCTTACTTAATATTTATAACAAAAAAAAAAATATATATATATTATATAAACACTTTTCCAACAAAATACTATGTAAAGTAAATATGTAACTTAAAGACTGGCAGCAGCACGCTGAAATGGGTAGTAAAAGCTACAAAAGCTGTGGAAGATCGCCGAATATCGTTATTCTGATTTAAGTTTTATTTTAAAAATAATAACAAAAATATGAAAATGTTTATTGTTATGAGCAGTTGATATATCTCTGGACCTATGTAAGCAATTTTGTTGAATTCGGCCCTCCTACCAGTGGCGTTTGAGACAGCCATATTTACTTCGATTTTTATGACTTTACATACATACAACATATATAATATACACACTTCTGAGTAACCAAATTGTTCAGAATATCTTTATCAGAACTACCATTTTGTTTTTGTTCAACTATAGAGAGAGGGGAAAGTCAATTCTACAGTCGTCTGGACTTTTTCATAGTAGAAAGTCGATAATGTTTCAGTGCAAGAAATTTCGCTCTGAAGCTTTTTGAGGCCGCGATAAAGTTAAGGTTATTAGGCTTTTCGGTATTTTGTAGTTCTCGTTCAAATATTCTTTTTTTTTTTTAATTATTTGTCAACAATTTTGTTTTGAATTTTTGATTAACCGTTTTCGTTGCAACTTTGGCACAACGATTTTAAAGCGCTTAAGCGCATTTTCCCATACTTCCAGGATAAGAGGATTCTTTGAAATAGCTTTTAAAAAGCTGCTAAGTCACCAAAAGCAGGCGATTGTAAAATTATATAAAAAAAATATTATTGAAAATAATTAATTATTAAATATTAAAAAAGAAACTTGTATTTTTTAATAATTCTACAAGATTATTTATTTTAATTTTTATAAATCTGAAGCTCAAAGTAATTATGATAAAATATAATAAATGAACCATTAACACTTTAACTTAAATTAAACAAAAATTCTTTAAATAATATGATTCGATATAGATAGTGCATTAAAATCTAATAAATAAAGTATATCGTATAAATTAAAAAAAAACTTAATAGCGGAACGTTAAAGTTTATCCCATACCTTGATTAATATATGAATAGCATAACGAAAGCTAGAGAACGGCCTTTTCCTTTAACGCTCAATAGCTCAATTGTCCTTTTATTATTTCATAAAAATATAAAATTTAAAAAAAATTAGCCTGCTTACATTCCAGCAGTAAATCTCAAGTACAATATGTCATCGGTAAGCGCTAAACACTCGGTTATCCTGACGGTATAACGGGTAGCGTCATACTCGTACAGCGCACTTTAACAGAGCATAACAGAAAATATAAATTAACATTGGCCTGCTATAAATTAGCATAACAAAGCAGCGACATGGTGGGGGAAATCGTTATTATTCTCATACCTCATACCTACATATAGCGAACCACTTCGATTTGTTTGATTTGATTTCACCTTTAACACACTAGTATTTGACCAGAACTTTTGCATACTAGTTGGGTTTTTCGCTGCAGAGTATAAGCGGAAATGATTACTAAAAGTCTCAATTGGACATTCTAATGAATAATTGAAGTGAATATTACTTAAAAGCGGAAGCCAAATTGAAGAATGTTAAACGTGAAAAATAATTTGCAGAAAACCGTTTAACTTCCTTGAGAATGTCATGGTCAATAAGAAGGCGAAATGAACAAAAAAAAAAAAAAAAAACAAATCATAGAAGTAAATATGTGCATATGTATTTATGTATTAATATTAACGGTCTAACAAGAGAAACCACAAAAGTGTTGCTTTATTAGCTAAGCAACCTTAATCTTGACATTTAAACAAATTTCAACCTTTTCCTCTGCAAATACATCTTCCGCAAAAGTCGAACAGCAATTAAGACTATGGTATAAGAAAGAAGAAAAACCAAAA